TGGCAGAGCAGGGGAGTCCGAGTCCCCTCGGCTGGCACGCGGCAGGACGGGGCTGCCGGCACCGCGCTGCCGGCACTGTGCAGGGAGGCCCGACCGGGCCGGGGGAGAGGGTCTGTGTCCAGAGAGGTCGAGCCGTGCCTCTGGTCTCCCGTCTCAGACCCATCCCTAGGGCAAAAGAGCAGGGGCAGCTCTTTGGAAAGCCCCTGGATAAACCTTGAAGCCTATTTTGCACACAGAATCACAGCTGAGAGGGCTGCAGGGACAACCTTGGATGCTGGTCCCCATATCCCAGCGGAGCTCTGCAGCTGCGGGGATAAATCCTGGCACATCTCAGGAAGGTGTCAGCAGCTTTGGGAAGGAGACCATCGGGTGGGGAGTCCTTGGGGTGCAGAGACCCGGAGCCCCTTCCTCCGGGTGTGCGGCTGCAGGCTTACCCACCTTCTGCAGGTCCCCGGGGAGCATTGGGATTTCTGGTTGGCAAACTTGGCTTTTCTTGCACACTTCCAGGGATGCAGCCTCTAAAACCATGGCTTTCCCGGTTGACCCCACGTTCTGCTCGCGCTGGCAAGAGTCCGCTGTGGTGTCTGCTGGATCTGCTGTAGGAGCGTGGTCAGGGGGCTGAGGCGTATTTCTAGCCTTGATAAATAGCTGAGCTGCCTGAAATCACTTAAAAGACTTTTCTTTCTCAAATTCCTTCTCTGGAGCTTCTTGAGATGTAAGGCTCTGCTCTGAATGCTGCTTCTACCTGTAGAGAGGAGCGCCTGCTCTCCCAAGTGTAGTTGTTTTTTTCTTGTAAAACTATCCTCCTCATTTTTGTGGACCTTTTGGGGAAATTACTCTTCCTTTTCCTGACATTCACTGTCTTTCTTTCTGCTAAATAATGAACGAATCCAATAAAAACAAGCCCTTTCTTCCAATCAAAGAAAATCACTTTAATGATAGCTCGTGCTGGCTTTATTGCTTTCCTTCCCACCGCACACACCCCTCCACCTAACAGCCGAGATCTGCAGCTCAGGTTTAGTGGCCTGGAAAAGTCTAACAGCCTGCATGGCTGAGGAACTCCTTGGGACGAGCTTTGTAGTTGAGAAAGCACTAAATGGCACTGCAGCTTTTAAAACGCTTCTTCGTACCCGTCCACAGCCTTGTTTTGTCAACACAGAGCTGCTGTTCGGAGGGAGCGGCTCTGTCCTCGGCGTGGTGGGGAGGAGAGGAGAGCCCTTCCCCTCCCCGTCCCCCCAGGATCTCGAGCAGTAACCTCTCTGAAATGTTGAGCTAATGGGAAAAAAATGATTCTTTCCTGTAATCTGGATGATATTAACCCTTGGGGCTGTGATTTGGTTGCAGTGATTTATTTTTCTCCTTCCTTTTTCAATGACGAATTACTGGAATGACTTTGATTTTGTTTTGTATGTAGATGCAGATATATAATTTCCTCTTCTGTTCATTCATTTTCCAGCCTTGTTTTCTTCCAGGTCTTGTTGCTCTCCACCTTCTCCTGCTGTGTTGCTGTGTGACGTGTCCGCCTTTACTTCGCCTGCTTCGCTACCATCTCATCTCAATCTCAAGCCGTAGAACAACCTGGTGGTGCAGCCCCTTTCATGAGAAATCAACCTGCTTTTGATTTTGTTTTATGTTTTTTGGTTGGGTTTTTTTTCCTCCCGATTTGTTTTTCTTCAGGCCTTCACATGTTAGGGCACAGACAATGTTAATTCATGGACCTCTTACTCCCTCCTAAACTGAGACTCAGAGAAGGCTGGGCCAGCGTAAAAAGGGTTAAAAAATTGTGACTCCAAACCAGTTCCCTGTCTGTCAGTGAATGGAGGACGTGGATTTATGCTCCGCAGGCTGGCTTACGTGAACGGACATCTCGTGAGCAGAACGTCCCAGGGGGATTGGGAGCTCTGTGCGAGCCCGGGATCGGCCCGCTCCCAGTCTGCAAACTGGGAGGCAGCAGGGGCTGAACAAGGGGGCTGTCCCGTAAAAACATCAGAGACGTTTGAATTTACAAAGCGAAGTCTTCCCCACCGATTTTGTCCCTTCCTCTTTGGTTGCGGGCTTCAGCACCCGGTCCTGGCAGCCTGGCTCTGAGCAGCAGTGGGGGGGCCCCCAGCCCGCCGGGGGATGTGATGTGCTCAGACTGTTCGTCTCATTTATGGAATTTGGTGCAAATGTTGGTTGAAAACTGAATATCTCACGTTTTTTGAGTCCTTAACCTGCTGTTCCTTTTTGTGGGAAGTGTTAAAAATGGTTTTTTGGATAACCTGTTTCCCCTCATGTGGTTGCCATTGTGATTTTCATGCACATTAGAAGTTCACACAGAGCAAGCAGCCCCGAGTTTAGGTGCGGCACGCGTGGGTCCAAATTTTGTGTCGAGAACCCACCCGGATTGAGTTTTTTGGGGAGGTTCGAAATTGAGCTTTAAACCTCGGAGCTCAGCTGGCGTTGTGTGTTGGTGGTGGGTTATTGCTTCACGTTCCCAGGTTGTGATTAAAGACCTGAAGTTGATACTTGCCCGAACCCCCGGGCATGCAAACTTAGACACCAGCAGGTCCTTTGAAAATTCCAGTATTTCCTCTCCTGTGGGTCAGCGAGCAGCTTTTCATGCTGAAACGGCGCTTTTAATTCCACCTGCAAAGGCCTGTTGTTTGCTTGTTTTTAGGAGCATCCCATTTGGGTTTGGTCCGGGGTTGGCTCCTGTTCCATCCACATTTCTTCATAGTTCTCCTCCATCCTCGGAGACGTGCGTGCCATGGTGTGATGGGCCACCGGGGCGGTCTCTGAGAGCCCAAGCTGTGCTCCCTGCTGTCCATACCGGATTTGCAGACCAGGTTGGGAGGAGGGTAGAGCCCCGGTCTTTTGCAGGGGATGCCCTGCTGTGCCTGCACAGGGTGCTCCTCATCTCCTCATGCCTCTTCAGCTGGTGCACCCTGCGAGCCAGACCCGTTGTCCGGAGGCACCTACGGGCACTCCTCACTCAGTGCAGTCCTGTGGACGTTACCCGTGTGGGGCTGAGTTTTTACAGGGTATCTATTGCAGTGAACACGTGGGGTGACCCGTGGGTACCCGTTACCTCTGCGCCTCAGCTTGGTCTGATGTGTCTCTGCTCTGTGGCCTGGGGGGCCGTCGATAGCTGCAGTGCTAGAGAGTAAAGACAAAGTTTAAGCCAAAGCTGCTCAATAATCACTGCTTCTCAAAGGGCTGTAAAATTTACAAGTAAAAAGTTACTGCTTGTTTTGCAAGGGTTTTCTAGATATTTAAGAAGATACTATTTGTGGAGCTGAGTAGCGTGAGGTTTTTTTCCCATTTTGGCTGCAGGTAAAACGGTGCATGTCAGATCAGGGTGTTTTGCCCTGGACTTGTGCACGCTAGAGCTTGCAGAGAAACAGGGACCAAAAGCCAGGTGTGCATGAACACTGGGTCGAGCAATTCTGCAGCCTTACATTTGTGGGATTGTACAGCTCAGCGCAGTTGCTGTTCTTGTGTTTAAACCGGCTTTGGTTTCCCCTTTCTCTCTGTTTTCCAGGCGATCCCAGGTAATTGAAAAATTTGAGGCATTAGATATTGAGAACGCGGAGCACATGGAAACGAACGTGTCGGCCGGTGCTGCCCTTTCCAGTGAGACGCGGCAGGGCAGGAGCGAGAAGAGGGTTTTCCCGCGGAAACGGGTAAGCTGCTCAGCTGAGGTCTCATGGTGGGGTTTGGAGGATGGCACCTGGGATCCAGCAGCCCAGGATAGAGGGTTTAGCTATAGGGTTTAGCTATAGGGTTTGTCCCTGGGTGGAGCAGGGGATCTGGAGTCGCAGGCAGGCTCATGCAGGAGCCAAAACGCTGTGTGTGCGCTCAGTCCGTGCACGTTTGCTGCTTGCTGCTCTGCTCCCTTGGCCCAGCTGCAGATCGAAGTGGAAAATCAGGCTGTCTTCTCCTTCCTCCAAAATAGAAAGAGGGAAACTTCAGATCTGGCATGGCAGGACACATCAGGATGGGGTGAAGTAACAAAAAAAGGCAGCCTTGAGAGTCCCAGATGCGCTTAGATATATTGGGAACAAATTAATGCCTGAGAGGACAAAAAAAATGTATTGCCAATGAAATAACACTTGTTCTGAGCCTGAGATGCCCCTTAAATACACGGATTTTTATGCCGTGAGCCAAGAGAGTGGGACTCGCTGTCCTAGTTCCTGCGCTGATCTGGGCTAACACTGTTTACACAGGACTTTACTTGCGAAAGTGCAGCTGTGGGCTCCATCCTGGATGTGTCTGCGTCTCCTCTGTCCCCGCATCGCCGGGCAAAGTCGCTGGACAGAAGGTCCACGGAGTCCTCTATGACGGTGAGCCACCGGGGCCGTGTCCTCTGCCTTGGGGGAGGACGTGAGAGGCCCTTCCCAGGCAGGTCCGGTGAAAACTTTATTGGGCTGCTTTCCCCGTAGCCAGCACGTAGGACATAGGATACGCTCAGATTTTGGAGCAGGTTTCAGTGACTTGGCTTCACACTTCACACTTGGTGTGTTAAGGAGAGCTAACGCGTGTCCTGGCTTTCTAATGATGCTTCCTTGATGTTTATGCAGTTGCAAGTGGGTGTCAGTGGGACGAAGGCTGCGAGGAAGGGCTGAACCTGCCCTCCTGAGCTCTCCTCTCTTTGCGTATTTCAAATGCTCACCAGACCTGGAGGCAAACAGTACCGAACAAACACAAAATGCCTTCTCTCACTCACCACCCTTCTGTAGGAACAAAATAAATACACTTGCTAATCTCTCAAAAAGATTACGCAGCCATTGTAAATATGAGCTGCGTTTTTTGTGGATGGACAGCTTCTATTCAAGGACTTCTCAGAAAAATGCAGTAGCTTAACATTTCTGTGGTAGCTTTTCATGTAGACTTGTACAGCCACAACAGTGATTTTTAAATTCTTGGTAGTAATGAAAAGGTGCAAGAAGTACACATTAAGTGGCTATGCACATCGTCTAGTGAAGGCAAGAAAATCATGCAGTCAGTGGGAGGAAAACCTTTTCCTTGCATTAAATACGCCTTTATTGTGCCACTCCTGCTATAAAAGTAGCAACGTAAGAAAAACTTGCACGCCTGCTGGCTTGCAGCCATGATTGCAAGACTCCCCCCTGCCCGTCGGGTTCGCTGTGTCAGAGCAGATCAGTTATCCGTCAGGATAAAAGCCGAGGGAGAGTTCATCCCTTGTTAGGCTCGGTGGGTTACAGCAGAGCTGTGTGGGTATCTCTTCCATCAGGTGCTTCATCTGTTTTTGGTTTCGAATGTCTACACCCTTCAGTGGCAGCTGGTCCCAAACTTTTCGTGCTTCAGCAGCTTTGCAGCTTCGGGCAAAGCCTGTGCTCTCCTGCCTGCCCGAGCACTCGGGGGAAAGCAAAGGGGTTTCTGCGGAGGAGCGGGACCTGCAGGAGAAACCTTCCTGCTCCGGGTGCTTCTGTAGCTGCAGCCCAGCCTGAAACCTGCATATACTGCTTAGCCGCATCTTTCCTCTCTGGCTGCTTCTACACCTTTGCTTAAACTTTAGTGAAACTAAGAAGTGTAGTAAAGCAGTATGAATGCTGCTAAGGAGGGATTTAACTGCTTTTGCAGAAGATTCTTGCCCTGTGCTTCTTCCCAGTTGATAAATAACAAGCCCATGAGCTACTGTAACACTTGCACTGCTTCCGTTTTCCTTCTCTGCAAAGTGCGTGGTTGGGAGCCGGTTATTTTTGATCCAAAATGTAGACCCTTTGCTTGACGCTCTCCTATTGTAAAAGAAAGAGCTTAAACAGGACCCAGACCCGGGGGCCATGATCCCACCTGCACTTTAACAGAGGAGAAGCAGGCAGGTGGTGGTATCGCTCTCTCAGGGTAAATTAGGGCTGAGATTAGAATGCCCAGTTCTCATAGCCTACTTCAGAGATGGATGTAGTCATTGCAAATGCAGTTTTCCCTGTAGTTTGTTCGTGGCTTATCACTGCCTCGTCAGCGGGTCCTGGTGGGGCTCGGCGGCTTTCTTGCCTGCAGCCACATCCCAGCCAGGGCTGCTCAGGCTGGCGTCTGTCCGCTCCCTCTTCTGATTCTCTAAGGCTTCAGGCCTGGCAAGGTGGCATTTACTTTCCCATGTGTTTTTGTGGGGCTGGGTTTCCGCCACCGTAGGAGCACTCAAATGTGGGATGTGCCGCCCCACAGCATGGGTTGGATTGAATAGGCTTCCAGACCCCAATTTTCCATTGCTCCCCTCGCTATAGCTCGTTTTCAGATGCTACAGCTGCATTTCACACACTGCTCTCCTTTCCTCCTCCACTCTGCAGCACGTGGAGCAGCTGGAGGAGCTCAGCCTCGAGGGAGAGAAAGCATTTCCACCGCATCCTTCCCTGCGCGCGGGCAGGGCTGGGAGGAGGGGCTGGCGGGAGTTATCCCACGCTGTCTTGGTTGCTTTTCTCAGAGCTTCGACATCCCGGTGCACCTGCTTTGGAGGAAAGAGCAGCTGTCGTTTGGGTGGTGCAATGCTCGGATTCCCTGTATTTCCAGCCTTGGGCACTCAGCCTTGTTTAGAACCCGCAGCTTTGCATGAATAGCACGTAGTTTTTCCTTCGTAGCATATAATACAGGGACAAAACTGCCTGCAGTCTCGCTAATTCCTTGCTTCTCCTTCCTCTGTAATGCTGGTGTAACAGTAGGAAATTGCAAGAGAGGTGCTAGGAAGGAGACAGCCTGAATAAACCATACAACGCGTCTCTGTTCCTCCTGGGAGCAAACGTTTAGCTCCACGCAGTATAATGATCCAATTTAACTGTCTCGTCTCTTGCTGCGCTGTGCTTTTTCAAGCTGCTGCTGTTGTCTGCTGAGCGTGGACGCTTCCACCCTCCCCTCTGATCGCCTCTCTCCTTTCTTGCAGCCCGACCTGCT